TAACCCTTTATCTGATATGTCATTTGCAAAAATATTCTCCCATTCTGTTGGTTGCCTTTTAGTTTTGCTGATTGTTTCCTTTGCTGTGCAGAAGATTTCCTGTGCAGAGGTCCCAATAGTTCATTTTTGCTTTTGTTTCCCTTGCCTCTGGAGACATGTCGAGTAAGAAGTTGCTGTGGCCAAGGTCAAAGAGGTTGTTGCCTGTTTTCTCCTCTAGGATTTTGATTGCTTCCTGTCTTACATTTAGGTCTTTCATCCATTTTGAGTTTTTTTTTTGTGTATGGTGTAAGAAAGTGGTCCAGGTTCATTCTTCTGCAAGTCACTGTCCAGTTTTCCCAGCACCACTTGCTGAAGAGACTGTCTTTATTCCATTGGATATTCTTTCCTGCTTTGTCAAAGATTAGTTGGCCATACCTTTGTGAATCAATTTCTGGGTTCTCTATTCTGTTCCATTGATCTATGTGTCTGTTTTTGTGCTAGTTCCACACTGTCTTGATGATTACAACTTTGTAATACAGCTTGAAGTCCGGAATTGTGATGCTTTCAGCTTTGGGTTTTTTTCTCAACATTACTTTGGCTATTTGGGGTCTTTTCTGGTTCCATACAAATTTTATTTTATTCCTTACAATTTTTTTTAACATTTATTTACTTTTGAGAGACAGTGAGACAGAGCATGAACAGGGGAGGGGCAGAGAGAGGGAGACACAGAATCTGAAGCAGGCTCCAGGCTCTCAGCTGTCAGCACAGAGCCCCATGCAGGAATCGAACTCACAGACTGTGCATGAGATCATGACCTGAGCTGAAGTCTGACGCTTAGCAGAGTGAGCCACCCAGGTTCCCCTGGTTCCATACAAATTTTAGAATTGTTTGTTCTAGCTCTGTGAAGAATGCTGGTGCCATTTTGATAGGGATTGCATTGAATGTGTATATTGCTTTGGGTAGTATTGACATTTTAACAATATTTGTTCTTCCAATCCATGAGCATAGAATGTTTTTCCTTGTTTGTTTTTTTTTTTTTTTTTTGGATTTTTTTCATTTTTTTTCATAAGCTTTTTATAGTTTACAGTGTATAGGTATTTTACTCTTTAGTTAGGTTTATTCCTGGGTATTTTATGGTTTTTCGTGCAGTTGTAAATGGGATCAATTCCTTGATTTCTCTTTTTGCTGCTTCATTTTTGGTGTATAGAAATGCAACCGATTTCTGTACATTGATTTTATATCCTGCCACTTTGCTGAATTCATGGATCAGTTGTAGCAGTTTTTTGGCAGAGTCTTTGGGTTTTCCACACAGAATATCATGTCATCTGCGAAGAGTGAAAGTTTGAGTTCCTCCTTGCTGATTTGAATGTCTTTTATTTCCTTTTTTTGCCTGATTGCTGAGGCTGGGACTTTCAACAGTATGTTGAAAAACTGGTGAGAATGGAAATCCCTGACATGTTCCTGATGTTAAGGGGAAAGCTCTCAGTTTTTCCCCACTGAGGATGATATTAGCCTTGGGTCTTTCGCATATGGCCTTTATGATCCTGAGGTATGTTCCTTCTATCCCTACTTTCTTGAGGGTTTTTATCAAGAAAGAGTACTGTTTTTTGTCAAATGCTTTTTCTCCATCTATTGAGAGCATCACATAGTTATCATCTTTTCTTTTATTAATATGATATATCACATTGATTAGCAGATATTAAGCCAGCCCTGCATCCCAGGATTCACTTGATTGTGGTGAATAATTATTTTAATGTATTGTTGGATCTGGTTTGTTAGTATTAAGATTTTATTTTTACATAATCTTTACACCCAACATAGGACTTGAGCCCACAACCCCAAGATCAAGAGTCACACGCTCCACTGACTGAGCCAGTCAGGTGCCCCTAAACTTACCACTCCTGTGTATTCCTTCTGGAATCACATTATTGGGAATAAAAAAAAAAAATTCTAGGTCACTGACTAAGGGTTGATTTCTAAATATTATATACATGGCATTAAACTAAAAATGTATTTATAAATTCATTTGCACAGGGGTAAATAGATGTGTTGGATGGTATTAACCCATGAAACCCATGTTCTTGATATTGCAAGTAGAACACTTGTGAGAAACCTTCATTTCTTTCTTTTTTCTTCTTTTTTTTTTCTAGTAAGTAGGCTCCATACCCAACATGGGGCTTGAACTCATGACTCTGAGATCAAGAGTTGCATGCTCTCTGGACTGAGGCAGGCAGGTGCACCAGAAACCTTCATTTCATTTTCCAGAAAATATAAAAATCAGCCAGTGTCATCTATGAAAGAAAGTTTCTTGCTTCACATGCCTTCATAGTCCAGGTTGGTAACAGGGAAAAATCCTTTAATTCTTATGAATAAGTCAATCTCTGAATGTGTTCATAGGATTTTAATTATCTCTCAGTGTGTTGACAAGTTCACTGCTGCTGAGAAATCTTCGTAAGAACATATGCTATGTTAAACATAGTTGTTTATGTCTCCACAATTATCACCTTCTTGACAGACCAAGAATCACCTTTCTGCTGGTTTAGAGGCTATACAATATGGAATCCTTGGTGCTTTACTAAACTAGGACAATTCATTTAATGGCTGTGCACTATTGTCAGCTTGTTTTGAAAATATCAAATAATCAGGGGCGCCTGGGGGCTCAGTGGGTTAAAAGGTTAAGCATCTGACTCTTGGTTTTGGCTCAGATCATGATCTCAAGGCTCTTCGGATTGAGCCCTGAGTCGTTCTCTGTGGTGACAGCATGGAGCCTGCTTGAGATTCTCTCTCCTCTCTCTCTGCCCCTCCCCTGCTCTCGTGTGTGTGTGTGTGTGTGTGTGTGTGTGTGTGTGAGCACACGTGCAATCTCTCTCTCTAATAAAGAGTTAGAAAAATATATCAAAGGATCAATAATTTGCATGATCCAGAATTAATGACATTATCTCATTACAGTTTTGTATACATAATTTCTAAGCTAACTATAGCCACAAAGCCTTTTTTTGTTAAATGTTTATTCACTTTTGAGAGACAGATATAAAGTGTGAGTGGGGAAGGGGCAAAAAGAGTGGGAGATACAGAATCTGAAGCAGGCTCCAGGCTCTGAACTGTCAGCACAGAGCTGGACATGGGACTTGAACCCACGAACTGTGAGAGCATGACCTGAGCTGAAGTCGGATGCTTAACCAATTTAGTCACCCAGGCACCCTTAGCCACAAAGGCTTCTTAAAGGTATTAATAAGTTTCAGATATTGGCATAATTTTAGCTGCTGTTTTTATGAAATAATATAGTCATAAACCAAAGTGTAAAGATGACTCCATTTAACTTTTTTCCTCCCCCCCATCTTTGATATAATTGTTTAAAGAATAGTTTCCTGAATAAGGTAAATTACTCCTTTCAAAGTTACTTAAATCTTAGAGATGATATACTTGGAAAAATTTGTGTTCAGTAACCTAATGAAGGGTAAAACACTAATTTTGGGGGTGTCTGGCTGGCCCAGTCTGAGAAGCATGAGACACTTGATCTCAGGATTGTGGGTTTAAGCCCCATGTGAGGTGTAGACATTACTTAAATAAAAACTAAAAAAAAACCTCCAACCAATAAAAAAAACATTAATTTTGTAAAATTTACATTTTAAAGGTGCATTCTAAAAAGACATATTCAGATGTGATGATTTGTGAGTTATTGTATACATATTTAAATACTTTTTATTAACATACATCAACATATTAACATATGAATTAAATATACTCAGTTCAACAAATACTAGATTCTACTATGGGCTGGCTTCCTAGAGTGACAAAGATGAATAAATAATGTGCCTTTCTGGCCTTCTAGAAATATACAGAGTAAGAAGTGATTGATAGGTATGAAAATGTCTACCACAGAAGGAGGCAAAAGGGAAAGATTGGAAAAAAAAAAAGTACTAGAAGGAAAATGTTACGATAAAAATCCTTCTGGATAATTTCAAAAGATTTCCTCTAGTATGTGGTTGAGATAACCCATGAAGGGTGAGTTTAATTTCTACCAGAGACACTTAAAATAAATGTTGCTGCTTTGAAGTGATTAATACTAGAGAAATTCTCATATAACAGTCTGAAATAGATATGAACAACTTTAATATTTATTCTTTTCTAATTTCATGAACTATAATGTGTTAAGAAAAAATTTAAGTTCCCAATATTTTATACCTTCAATTATATCAGGTAGAATTTTTGTTTCCTCTGCTAGGAAATCCCTAGCAGTTACTCTGAACTCTCCTCCGTAGATCAGTCACGACTCCACTGGAGGCCCTTTGAATCAGGATCACTGGAGAGGGTTCAGATACTGGTATTTTGAACAAGTTCTCTGGATGATTTTATTTTTTATAGATTTTATTTTATTTTTTTTTTCAACGTTTATTTATTTTTGGGACAGAGAGAGACAGAGCATGAACGGGGAAGGGGCAGAGAGAGAGGGAGACACAGAATCGGAAACAGGCTCCAGGCTCTGAGCCATCAGCCCAGAGCCTGACGCGGGGCTCGAACTCACGGACCGCGAGATCGTGACCTGGCTGAAGTCGGACGCTTAACCGACGACTGCGCCACCCAGGCGCCCCTAGATTTTATTTTAAAGTAATCTCTATATGCAAAGTGAAACTGAACTTACAACCCTGACGTTAAGAGTCCCAAGCTCCACCGACAGGGACAGGGAGGCCCCCTCTAGATCATTTTAATATGCAGTCAGTATAGCCGACCACGAGGCTAAATTGCAGCTGAGCAACTTTGGTCTTACCAACAACTGATTTATTTTCTCTTTGCTGGTTCAACAAATAATAAGAATTTTCCAATATTATTCTTTATTAGCTGCCACTTCAAAAAAAATGTTTATGGGGGGGGCAGAGAGAGAGGGAGAGGGGATCTGAAGCACTGCTATTAGCTGTCATTTGACTGAGTATTTATTATGTGCCAGGCACAGTGCCAAAGCTAGGTGTATTTCCAAAACACTTGCCCAGTTAACTGTCCCTTTCCAGGACCCAAGAACTTACCCACTGCACCACACTGCTTCTCTCCTCTAAGTCACTCCAGATAGGGAACTGTTGGAAACACAAAAGTCTCTTAGCAGTTATATACAAACCCTATCTGGAAAGGGCAACTGAGAACACAAATGACACAAGAACAAGTATGGAGGATTCCAGGAAGTGACACTGTAGGGCAGACCAGGAGATTCAAAATCTCTTTCGCTGGTCCCCCCAACACCGCCTCCAGCCTTTAACCACCCCTACTTAGCCTCACTTTTAAAGCTCACTGGTCCACGATGGCCAATTATAGGGTTAGAATAACCTTTAAATACACAGGGTCAAAAACCACCAGTCCAGATATTTCCCAAATCCGAAGCTGCAGCTGAGGGGTTCGGTCATTACTGGAGATAGGGAAAAGCCTTCTCGAGCCTTCCGCATCAGCCCACCGACTCAACGATATGGAAGCAAATGCCCGGGGTAGGGTGGGTTGCCTGGTTCTGGGTCCTCACAGCCTTAGGAGGGAGACCTCGCAGCAAACCGCCAGAGGTGGGACGCGCGGCTGGAGGCCCCTCATTCCGTACCAGCCAGAGGGGAGGGCGGGGTGAGCGCCTGCGGGGCCAACCGTGTTTGCCGCCCTTCAGGATCCCGGGGCAGGACCGCAGGCGTGGGTCGTTCCGTGCCTCATCCTGAAGCAAGGGCGCGACCGCAACTGGGGAAAGGAGCCTGCTCGACCCTAGTGCACACACCCTGATTTAACTAAAGGCACTGAAGCGGGGACCTGGGCTCATGGGGGGAATGGCTGCCGGCTCACCCCAAGACAGAGCGCAGCTGGCCGGGGAATTCTATTCCAGAGGATCCCTAGGGCAGTCCGCACTGGTTGCCACGGCAACCCCACGCTCTTGGCGGAGCCGGCGCGCGCCGCGGGGCTCAGCCACTACCGGAAGTGACGTATTTCACCTGCCGTGCAAGGGTGGGGTGGGACGGGGGTGCGGAGGTGCAGCCGCCGCCAGCCAGTCGGGAGCGCGCAAGGCGCAGGGTGACTGAGACCCCGGGTGAGAGCCGCCTACCTTCAGTCACCGCCCACGGCCGGGCCGCCACCATGGCGCTTCTGCTGCGATTCGTCGTCTTGTGGGGAGTCGCGGGTGAGTGGGGGGCAATTCAGTTCCTAGGGTTCCTGTTGCCGGCACCGCCCTGGGGCGCTCGCTGCCTGCGGCCACCCGGGAACAATGAGGCGTGGGGGAGGGGACGGGTGCGGTTTGGGGGCGCTGCGGCAGTGGTGGCCGTGCGGGAGGTATCAAATGCGGTGGTTTGCGGAGCCGGGCGTGCGAGCCGGGAAGGTGGAATGGCTCGGAATAGAGCCATGCAGGGGCATGAAGTGTCCGGGGGGGAGTTGGAGATGGTGGGGACCGAGCCCCGAGATGAGGGGCGGCGGTACAGGGGCTCCTCGGGCGCGGCGTGCCGGGCGCGGCGTGCCGGATGCGCCTGGCGTCTCTCCCAGACCATTCTTTGCTGCGGGTGCAAGGTTTGCTTTATTCGCGCTTGCCTTTTCCCTTGTTAGCCGCGGTGTTGTGTCCGTCCAGGGTTACTCGATTTCCAAAGCCTTGGGCTGCGAGTTTGCAGGTGTTGAGCAGTCCAAACGGGGAGGCTGAATTACAAACGCCATGATTAAATAGACACCGAGCTTTTCAGTGCCTCAAATCGTCCAGGCTACCTCTAGGAAAGAGGCGCTGAACGAACCGTAGCCTGAGCCTTCTTGGTCTGGTAGAGAGGAGAGCCCAAGCACGAGCTGTTACCTAGAAGGTAACACGACGAAGTAGACCGTGTTAAATCAAAAGTAGATTCCAGCAAAAAAAAAAAATAAAAAATGCGGTTTTGGTTTCCGGAGTCCCGGCGCAAAGTGCAAAGGAGAAATTCGTAACCTCGGTTTGAATTTATGATGAGTTAATTCATTTTGAAGATAAGAGGGGATGACTTGTACGGGGCACTTCTTAAAGGATTCGCCAAGTACATTTTTCGACTGCGTCTTTCTCGGGAGGGGAAAAAAGGCATTTAAAAAATGCGTGGACTATTAGAAGGCACAATCATTTGACACTTTAAGTGATCTGTTTTCATGTCAGTGTTTTAACTACCTGATCTTGTTTGTCAGGGTAAGCACTTGTATTTTAGAACCAAATTGTTAATTAAAGGAAAAAAAAATCCATGGGTGGGACCCTGGAGACACATTCGTGTAGCTTCTGGAAGGATTTTTTTTTTTTTTTTTTTTTTTTTTTAAATCCGAAAGGATCGGGTGGCCCTTTCTGTTGGGATGGCTCTCCGTTTCCTGTTGAAATGTTAATTCCATTGTTGGATGCCACATCTGTGAGCATTACTCATGGGATCAACATTCTATTACCAAGTCTAATCTTCAGACTATAGCACCACCTCCACCTTTTTGATACATATCATTTAGACTTGGGTGAAATTTCCAAAGTAAAGCTTCTGCAAAAGATGAAGGGTCAGTAACCAGTTTACTTGGTACATTCCTATCTTTGTTTTGTCAAGGACTAAGCTGAAGTTGAAGTGGAGAACACATGTTCTCTATGGGAAGAATATTTTAGGCTACATTTAGAGCAGAAAAGTGGAATACCATAAACAATGTAGAGGATTTAAAAAAAATTTTTTTTAATGTTTATTTTTGAGAGAGACAGAGATAGAGTGCGAGCTGGGGAGGGGCAGAGAGAGGAGGAGACAGAATCTGAAGCAGGCTCCAGGCTGTCAGCGCAGGGCCCGAGGTGGGACTCGAACTCACAAATTTAGGAGATCATGACTGAGCCCACATTGGCCGCTTAACCGACTGAGCCACCCAGGCGCCCTGAAGAGGATTCTGTTTTTCACCCCCTGGGGATGTCCAACTAATTGTCTGGATTTCATTTTTTCTGGGTGCCTCACTTTGTTAGGCACAATGAGCTTCTCATTAAAGGACTATTGTCCTTAGCTTAACAAGACAACTATTTTTAGTTCCAATTTCCCAGCTTAGGGAACAACTCAAAAACTATGTAACTGATGTATGGCTCCAAGTATTTCTTGAGATACTCTTTGCCATTTTAGAAGTCCGTTGCTATGAATTCAGTTTGGGTGGTAACATGATTGGCTTCTACATTTGGCAAAACAGAGTGGAGGAGGCTTACAGATTAAAAATTGCAGTGCTATTTTTCTTCTAGATTTGTCTCCATATGGGTTGTAAAGCGTTTTGTGGTATATTTTGGTTGCTAGTGGAAGTCCTTTTGATGCATTTTATTACCCACCCAGCAGCAAGTCATACTACCTAAGTCACAGTAATAATAGTGGCAGTGGTAGTGCCACTAATAATAGTGGCAGTGGTAGTATAGCTGTAGCAATCGTAGTAAAATTAAAGCCTTGATTGAGCAGTTATTAAATGCCAGACACTGTTAAGGGCTTTACATATACTCCATCTACCTAGTAACCCTAGAGGGTGTGTATTACAATGATCCCTATTGTACCTGTGAGGAAACTGAGGCATAGAATAGTTATATAACTTAATTTGCCAAGGTCACAAACTTCCTCTTTAATCCTTGCTCTTACCACCATGTTATTTTGCCTCTTTCCTCTTTGATTACCTCTGATTGACATCCTAAATTTTTGTCACTGGTTATCTGTCATGTAATAAGAACCTGCTGTGTGCCAAATACTGAAGTCTTCTGTTATTAGCCCTTTACTTTTTTGATTTTAGTTGAATGCTTCCTGGCACCATTATGAAGACACGGGGAGTCAGGGCTTAGTGTTGTAAAACTGACATGGCCCATGTACCAGCAGCATCAGCATCACCTGGGGATCTTGTTAAAGTTTGGGGGGCTGCTGTTTCTCACACTGTCAGCATGAGTGAAACTAAAAATTACTTGTCTACCTACCGCTTGTTAGTCATTTGATGGCTGCAGGCCCCTGTCCTTTCTGTGTGCCTCAGTTGCTTTATGTGTCAATAGTAGGGATCCTACCACCGCAGAGTTGTTGAGGAGCAAAGTGAAATGTTTATCATTTTGCTTTCCGGAAGTCTTCTTTTGCATAAAATATATGAAGATTAAGTGGGAACTTTATCTCCTCTATATATGTCTCTTACTGTTCACATTTTGGCCATTATACCAACCACCTAAAAAAAGTCCCCCCTCCTCAGAGGCAAGCCACGTTAGATTGGCTCCTTACCCTGCTCGTTGTGGGGTGTCCGTCAGTCACTCAGTTTATCTCATTGCACTAGGTCAGAGGGCAGGGGCATGACCTGTGTTCTTGTTACAGTCCCAGTGTTAGTTAGCTTGTGGTATGTGGCAAATAGCAAATGTTCAGCAATATTGTGTGGCTAAAAGTTTGCAGCTTTTTTACCACTACGCCTGTGTATATGACGTAGCTCTCATTGGTTCCATTTCTCTCTCTCTCTCTCTCTCTCTCTCTCTTTCTCTCTCTTTCCCTTCTCAGCAAATAAAGATGGTCCTTCTAGTGATCATTCCAGTAGCCTTGTCTCATTCAGTTGTTAGTCTAAAGTTAAGCTTCTGCTTTATCTTTGATCTCATTGTTCTGTTCCACTTTAGTTGCCAAAGGTAACAATCACCGTGTTCCAAATACGCTTATCTTTTGGAACTTCTTTTTGGTTCTTTCCCACACTGTTAACTTGCTCTTCATTGACTTCTACAGAAGGTCTCTAAAATGTCAACCTTAGCCAAGATTTGGCCCATAGTCCTCTTCTTTCAATCTTAGACCTGGGTGACCTCATCTACCCATTACTGTAACCTCCAAGCAGTTGCTAATGACTTAAAAATAGTGCCAGCTCAGCCTACCTCTCCTTTGAATTCTGGGCCACTGTTTCCAACTGCTTAACATTCACATTCCATCCGAATGCACTTTAGTACCTTACACTGTGCAAGTCTGGAGCCTAACTCATCTGTTAATTAATTGATTAATGATCCAATCATTCAAATATTTATGGCCTACTATGTACTGTGCCTGTACTAGGCGCCCTTACAGTAGTAGGTGCAAAGGTTTGATAGGACATTCCCAGCAGATGGTACAGCTTTTGCAAAGTCACGGAGTTCTGAAAGGATATAATGTATTGTGAGAGGTGAGAAATTCAGTGCATTAGAGCATCTAACCAGCACTTCTCAAAGTTTTGATGTGCGCCTGAGTCTTTCTTATAAGAAAATATGGGGTGAGGCCTGAGATTTTGCCTTTTAACCAGTGACCCACACTGTGGGTGGGTGAAGATCTAAGGCTGTGCCAGGAGCTTAGTAGATGAAGATGATGGACAGCTGTCAAGTGCTGCCACCCTCCTTGGTGGTACAAAGAAACTTGTGAAGGCATTAAAAAAGTGAGATTATACACTGAGATTATTCTCTTGAATGATGAACCTGGAGGCAGTTCTGGAGGCAGATAGAACCAATAGATCTGATACAGGAAGCTATCTGGGATGATCTACACATGAGCAGTCCCTGTTAAAAAAAACAAAAACACAAGAGTTGTGTTGGGCTTCCTCTGGTGTGAAAAGTTTTAAGGGAAGTGCAGTGAAACCTGATACCTGGTTGATTGCAAGAAAAAGTTGGAGAGAAGCAGTAAGATTTCTGGCTTTGGGAGAATGGTGAAGTCACTAACCAACAGAGGGTAAAGAAAAAAGGAGCAAGTTTTAGGGGAAATGACCAATGAGCTTAAGTTTAGACAGGTGATATTTGAGGAGCCCGAAGGGAATGGAGGTAAAAAATACCTATTAGGAAGATTGAAACAAAGGACTGGATCTCAGGAAAGACAAAGTTTGGTGATAGAGAATTGAGAATCACCACTGATAGGTGGCATCTGTGTAAGGTTAACCAGGAAAAGCTGGTAGGACTAGGAGAGATGGTGAAATGTGACACTGGAGAGCATCAACATCTAATAAGTAAACAGAGGGTGAA